CACATTTCATTGTAATATTTTGCTTTGTCATTCCGAGCTGCCTTTTGGAATCTTCTGTGCAGCTCTTTAGTATCTTGAATTCTTCCTTGTGCTTTTTAGCTAAAATTTTAATTGGGATTTGTTTTACAAAAGTCAAATATATTGTTTTTCACATCAAATCCTTCCCATTTCCCTCAACCCCCACTCATCAAATTGTACGACCCCGTGATTGATCCCCCTCACCCCATACATCCTTACCCCTCTGCTTTCACCCTCCCCTCATCCGTGGATCCTCATAATTATTCTACAATTACAGTTTTATATAGTATTTGGGTAAGTGTTCCTTTATTTTCTTAAAAGCTGGGTGTAAACTGTTTGGATTTTTATTTTGCTAACCATCAAGTTTAAGCTGATTGGCTGTTTCTAATTTTGTTAGCAATCAGCTGTGGGCTGAAATTCTCTTAATCAATCCAAACCCGGAGGGTGGGCTTTTGTATTTAAAAGTCAGTTGGGTTCTGCCTGAGGATGCTTGGAAAAGTTGAATTGTGGAGGGTAATCAAAGAATTATTTTATTTTTAATTTCTTTTCACTGTGTTCAATATTACAAGTTTATTATTCCTAAGTACTCTTCGATGACATTAATTACCTACATTGTGCTGTTATACCATTTCCATTAACTGTTCCTGAATTTTTCTATCATCCCTGAAAAAAGTCAATGAATGATTCCCTAGGTGTTACGTCTCCTTTACACTCTCCCTTTACTCACTTCTGTTAAACACTACTAAACTTTTACTTCTGTCTATCTGCTTGTTCTATATATTGTATATAAATGAGACTACACAATACTAAGTAAAAATGTTGTTAAAAAGTGACTCCATGAAGTGGAGATATGCTGGTCAAGCTATAAATGTGATGTTCTGAGTCTGCCATGTGGACTTTGAGTGATTTGGTAGCAGTGGTTTTGGTATTGCACATTAAACTCACAGATGAACTCATTTGTGCTCTAGACTTCCCTCTGTGAAAGATCCACTGTATCACAAGCTTGAACTTTTGAGTTTTGTAGCCCAGATATACAGGACCTGTTTGTGAAACCAGAGCTATTATAGGATGATGTTAGATGGACAGAGTTTCAATGAATGACTGAAAACAGAATTCTGATAAACAAATAAAATTCTTTTTTCTTTATGGCTGCCATTTTATCCCTAGTCCACTAAAGAGACTGTTACAGTGGCACTGGTTTTTTAACTGCACAATCTGTATCTCTATTTTCACACAAAGTACATTTATTTTCAAGGTAATACTTCTCTTTTTTTTGCTATGTTGTATATTTTTATCATATCTCAGTATCATTCATTGTAATTACATTACCATGAGATTTCCTCCATAGTGTAATATCCAATAGCTTCTAGAGGGACAGAAGAAAGAGATTTGACCTTGGCATCAAAAGATCTGATCCCGGGGCTTTGCTTTGGCTTGAAAACAGTTGTTTAAGCCCAAGTTTCTTGATCTTGTCTTGATATTTGGAGCAGTTTGCCAAGTTTTCTACTGGGTATCCACTGGGTGGGTTCAAACTGCCCTATGTAACATTAGTAGCCAAGTGGTCAGCAATGATGCTAGGGTGAGATAATATGAGAGTGCTTTGAAAAGCGTGATAGCTTTCTACAAATGGAGTAGGATCAAGGTAGACGGACCTTGGTTTGAGACCAGACTGTGCTGCTTATTGCAGTGTTACCTTGAGCAAGCTATATCTATGCTTTCAACCTGCCTTAGCCTAGCACATACATTGGAAATACTGGGGAAAATAGATTTCTGCCCACAGGACCAAATCTCTGAAACAGATCATGAATATATTTCCTTGGAAAGTTGGGAGAATGCAGTGAGATCTACGTTGTATAATACTGATTGATGTCAGTGCTGTACTTGCTGTGACCATATTACAACAGTTCTGGAGGAGTGTAGCGAAAGATTTTCTGTGGAGTGAAACTTCTATATATAACTATCATTATTTTCTTTTACCTGTGTCCCTTCTACCTCTTAGTCCTTAGCTGTGAGGTTCAGGTGTTGGAGAAAACTTACATGCCAACTTCTTTTAAAATAGGTGCCGGACACAGCAGATAAGTATCTTCTACTGTGAAAGGTTTCTCATCTGCAAAAAAGAAGTCACTGATTAAGCAGAGTGTGACAAATTAATAAATTCAAAGTTAGTGATATTTAGAGGCCATTAGTCAACACCAAGAAGAAAGGCACTTATATATGCTTTTAAACTTGTTTTTAACTGTCCTAAATATATATATGTAAGAAAAATATTTTCCAGTTCAACAACATTTACATGGACGTTTCAGTGACAGTAAATGTGTCTGATGATTAAATATGTAAATTATCATTAACTATCCTTGTATATTTCCACCACCCTTTTGTTTTAACATCACCCTTGGTAACCACTAATAAACTTTGATCTCTATTTTTCTATCCTAGAGATTTTATATGTATGGGATCACACAATATTTATCCTTTTGTGAATGACTTATGCCATTCAGCATGATGTATTTAAAGTTCATCCACATTACAGCAGGAATCAGACTTCAACTTCCTCTACACAGCTGAAAAAAAAAAATTATATAATAAAAAAAAACACCCCAAAACCCAACAACAATCAAAAACCCACCTCTTCTTGCACTTTATAACCCACTGGAAGCGATTTAAAGGTCTCTTGTTTGACTACCAGTCCTCACACCCTGTACCCAGTTGAATCACTGCTCAAACAGATACTGAGCTTTGAAGACAGACAGAAATCACTGCAGGGAAACAAGATTATACTAGATTGGTCCTCAAGGAGCTTCTTGTTTAAGTCCAGAACCCATATTCATGTGAAGAATTCACTGACAACTGTAAGAAGAATGGATGAAATTTCCACAGATGGGTAAGCCAGGTTGCAGGGAATAAAGAACATGGGCTGTGCATTGGCACAAAGATGTAGAAGAGGCCTTCCTGCTGCGAGGAAAGACAGGAGCAAGGGTAGTTGGGTAAAGAAAATACTAATTGGGAACAAACATTTGGCAATATCATCTCAGACAAGGATCTCATAACAAAAATGTACAGAATACTCCCAGTCATCTAGAAGAAAAAGAATTACAAAATGAGCAAGAGATATGGAAAGGCTTTTCACAGAGGACATTTAGATGGCCAAGAGACATATGAAGAAATGCTCAAAATCACTAGCAATGAGAGATATGCAAATCAAAACCATAATGAGATACCATCTTATCCCAGTAGCAGCAAAGTTTAGAAGGGCAGCAAGTAATAAATACTTTAGAGGATGTGGAAAGATAGGAACTCAAATATATTGTTGGTGGGATTGTAAAATGGTACAACCACTTTGGAAGGCAGTTTAGCATTTCCTCAAAAAGCTGACCACAGAAATTCCATATGACCCAGCTATTCCACTGCTTGGAATATACCCTGAGAAAATGAGAACTGAGGCACAGAGACTTGTACACCAATGTTCAGAGCCATGTTATTCAGCATAGCAAGAACATAGAAACAGCCCAAATGTCCAATCACAACGGAGCAGATTGAGAAATTATGGTACATTCACACAATGGAGTACTATGCATCACATGAGAGCAATGATCTTCTAAAATACTACCTAACATAGAAGGGCTGGAGAGCATTATGCCAAACAAACTAACTCAGTCCCGTAAGGACAAATACTGTATAAAACCATTATCATAGACATTGTACAAGGATCCAAGGTGGGGAGGTGACGACAGGATGAGAGGGACTTAATAAAGGGTTGCACAATTTGATGGGTGGAGAAAGGGGTGGGTAAAGGAAATTGGAAAGATCCAGTGTGAAAAACAATGTATATGGACTTTGTAAATAAATCAGTATAAAATAAAAATTTTATATATAAAATAAGAGAAAATATACAGCCCAGTGTAGAAGATTTGAAAAGATCAGCACAGAAAAAAAGTTAAATCTCAGTTGTTTGTGTTAGATTAAGGGATTGTTGCATAATTCTATAAAGTGTGAGAAAAATACATTAAAACTTTTTGAAGACTGAAACGATTTACTTTGGAAGGTATAGTAGATGTTGTAATGAAAATGGACTAGAGATATAAGAGGGATTTGAGGTAGAGATGTCTGCTTTTTGAGTAATGACTGGGAAAAAGCTTAAGCAGTTTTAGCTGCTGACTGCTAAATATTTCACTGTGTCCTTAATTCTGGGTCTGAGGACATGGCTGAAAATGACTGTCCTCAATATCTAGCAGTCATTAAAAAGGACCCAGCAGTGTACTGGGGGTCTGCCCTGCACAAAAAAACAAACAAACAAACCAAAACTAAACCTCAAACTGTGGTAGACTTAATGAATGATATGGAGATATGAAGAAGAGTAAGATTTACTCTCTTAATTGTGGCAAATTGTGAATATACTTACAAATACTAGAAAATATGCAACTGAAACTCATTGGTGTTAAGTTGGAACTTATTTAAAGCTGACCTTCCATGGGCTTTTCAAAGATGTAAATTGCACAGGAGGAGATTTGAACCACCAGAGAGTTGTGGCACAATCTCTCCTGATTATGACACCAGATCTCCTTCTAGAATATGCATTACACTGCTAATAAAGTCAAAGCTACCACCTCGAATTCACCCAGGGTGGCCTTGGAAGAAAGATCTGGAGACTGACTTTGGGAAAATCTGCCAATAAAATTATAAAGCCTTGTTCTACTAGGACAAACACAGCATTGCTGTGAGATAGCATAAATAAGAACACAGATGTTAACATGCTACTGATGGGTGGTATTAACTGCACTATTGAACAATATGACTAATAGCATATGCAAGCAAAACTCTGATAATTATGACTGAAAAATGGAGATTGTGCTTAAGCGAAGCCTATATTTGGACCAGGAAGCAGTCCTCAGGATAGAGCAAGGAAACACTACACGGTTCAAAATCAGTAAAGGAATGTGTCAGGGATATGCCCTCTCTCTATATTTTTCAGTGTATATGCAGAACAGATCGTTCAGGAGGCTGGGCTTTATGAGAAGGAACGTGGCATTAAGACTGGAGGAAGACTTAAACAACCTGTGTCACACAGATGGCACAACCCTGCTTGCTGAAACTGAGGAGGACTCGAAGCAGTTGCTGGAGAAGGTCAAAGATTGTAGTTTTCAAGATGGGTTGAAGCTCAACAGAAAGAAGACAAGGAAAGAAGACTGGGCCAATTGGCAAAACCATGATAAATGGAGAAGAGACTGAGGTTAACAATTACGGGTTGCTCAGCTCCACAATCAATGCTCTTGACACCAGAAGGCAGGAAATCAAAAGATTAATTACACTGGGAAAATGTGCTGTCAGGGATTTCTCCAGAGTACTGAAAAACAACAATGTCAGTCTATAGACTAAGGCACACCTGATCCAGGCCTTGGTCTTTGCAATTACTCACTATGCATCAGAGATCTGAATACGCTAAGGAAGACAGAAGAATCTATGCCTTCAAATTGTGGTGCTGGAGAAGAGTCTTGAACATACCATGGACTACCAATAAAACAAGTAAGTCTTTCTTGGAGAGGGTGAAACCAAGTTTCTCCTTGGAGGCTAGGATTTTCAAGCTCCATCTTACATACTTTGGGCATTTAACAACAACAACAGTATTGTACAACTACCATCTTTATCTTGTTCTCAAACATTTCATGAGCCCAAAGGAGACATCAAATCTATAAATATTTAAATGAAATTATACGATCTATGACCTTTTATTACTGGCTTCTTTCACTTAAGATAATGTTTTTACAGTTCTTACATGACAAAAGATGCAGAAGTATTTTCTTTCTCTTTAGGATAAAATATTATTCCCTTGTGATGCTTACAGCACCTTTTGTTTATCCATTCATCTACTGATAAGTAGAAGGCATTTTAACCACCTGGCTACCACTATTAGTGAGGTTATGAACAATCACATATGAGCGCTAATCTAATTCTTCTGAATTGTTGAGCCACATGCATTTCTATATTTTAACTTTTGAGGATCTAACAAATTTATCTTCAAAGTGTCTATATCATTTTACACTCCCATCAGCAATACATGAGTATCTCAATATCTTAGCTGGGCCTTCTGGGTTATATGGAAGCTAATGAAACTTGAATTTGAATGAGGTAGAAAAATAACTAAAAATAAGGCTAGAAAAGACAGTACGGTCAGCCAGCCAAACCTGTGCAATTCAAGGTGTAGATTTAGGGAGTTTTCATAAAAGCAGTAAGAATATTATGGCATGCTACTGCAATGATGAGGATGTCCTACATAAAACTGTCAAACTTACGATTATGTAAAGAAGCCCTTCATGGTGCAATGGTTAAGTATTCAGCTCCTAATTTAAAGGTTGGCAGTTTGACACCCCAGCCATTCCATAGGAGAAAGATACAGCAATCTGCTTCTGTAAAAATCACAGGCTTGGGAACTCAAGGCGCGATTTTATTTTGTTGTATAGGATCACTGGGAGTTGGAACTGACTTCATGAAAATAGGAATAATTACAGTATTAGACTAAAGAGTGGATTCACAGAGTTGTGTTAGTGAAGGAAGGGGTGAAGAAATTAGGAAATATTCAGTGGGGATCTGAAAAGACAGGGTGATAGTGGGCATAGAACAATGGCAACTAATTTTAAAAGACATAATGTATGGGAAATCGTATGAAACACACTGCAAATGAAGGAATATGTGAAATACAACATATATTAATGAAGAAAAATATTCTAAGTAAGGAAGGGCTGGCTAATTTGTTTCAAAATGAAGGTAAGTTTGTATAGCTTTGGAGGACAAGTTGGAGTTGTCTATAATTCAGATACTTACTAGAAATATATTACCAGATACAAATATAAAAAAAACCCACAACATACCAGTGAACATGAAGAGGGGCACGGTCAGACATCATACTGCTTTATAATATATAAAGTCTCCTTAAGTCAGAGACAACCTCATGGTACCTAAGAATAATAATAGTGATGACACTGTTATGATAATAAAAATAACAGTGGTCACACTCACATGGAACATAGCACCTGTAAGAGATGTAAGCATTTCATATGCATCACATAATTAAATTTAACATTCCAGCAGCACTGTAGGGAGAAGCATTACTTT